CGCGTTCATTTCTCTGTGACCGGAAAAGCCGGAAGCTAAACAAAGAATCAACTAGAGACGACGATAACCATTCAGGAAAGGAACGCAGCCTCCTACCGCTCTGGCGGTGAATTGCACCGCGATGAAATGGAGTGACAGAGAAGTTCGAAGGGTTCACGGCGGCGTCACAGCAACGACGCAGGTATGTTGTAGGTACGCCGCAGGACCATAAATCAGGCTTTATCCACCGTTGTCAACTAGAATGCAAAAACTGTTGTCAACTTGGAGTTGACATCATTCCCACTTCCGACTTCCGACCCCCGAGTACAAAACGAACGCACCATTACCCCTGCTTCTCCCCAGCTCCACCCTCTCATCCAAATATGGTCACTTCTGGCCCCAAAAAATCAAGATGGCAGCCAAAATGTTGGACTCGAAGCTTCAAAACAGGAGTCCAAAAATCAAAGGGTGATGTCACGGTGGCTATGTCTGTTTTTTTGTATTTGTGATAGTCTGTGATAGCTCCTAAACTACCCTTATTATTATTGCTAATATCACTTTGAGTCACAAAACAAGTTCTATAAGGAATGAACATTAAATGAAGCGTTCTTTCATTTCTTTATTCAGTTTTGTTATTTAAAGATGCAGGAAAAATTACATTTTGTATTGTCCCACAGTACAAAATGTCCAGAATACAATCATTTATTAATACATAGGAAACAAGTCTGTGATTGCTTTAAGAGTAGCTGGGAATTCTGGCTTTCAGAGGCTGTGCTGTGTTTGTTTCAGGCTCTTTTTGACTTGACATACATGAAATTTCTGTTTGAATTTGGTAGGCTATATCTAATACTTGGTATGCTTTGTGTGAGCTAACCTGCTACTGGAAGTGGAAAGTTTTAATGCAATCACAGCAACATCATGTTGACATGGTGCGCTCCCTCTGCCTCCTTCTCAAACTCTATTATATACACACACACGCACATTAAATCCTGCTGAGGTCCAGATCCAGTCATTAATCAAAACTTTTCCCTCCAGTGATTCAGTCAAGAGTTGCTGCTGTAACTGAACACTTGTGTGTGTGTGAGTGTGAGTGTGTGTGTGTGAGTGTGTGTGTGTGTGTGTGTGTGTGTGTGTGCGCGCATGCTCAGGTGTCACTGTGTGTTGTTTGTCATGGGGCTGACAGGTGATGACACATTGCCTTGCTGGTAGGTTTGCACTCAGCCCTGTACATCAGCACTCCTGTTTATATTACTATCCCGCACATTAGTGGCACAATAGGAAGAGAGCGCTCTTAAAAATTCATGAGGACACATTGCATTAAGTTTTCATGAGTTCCTTTCACCGGCTCCCATGAGACGGTTTTCCTGCTGCCTGCCGCAATAGAGCTGGGAAGTCCAGAAAAAACATATTAGACTGAAGTGAGAGGACTCTGTTCACTGTGAGGAATGATCTTCAACACAGTGAGGACGAGACGGAGCCTGCTGCTGTACAGTCATGGTCACTCAGTGTGGTTTGGCAAGGTGTGGCACTCACCTGCACTGCGTCACAATCATATTTGTTTTGAATAACAAAGGTATTTCTATACATAATAACCTGGTTGATAGCTTTAGTTTTGAGAAAACACTCAGCTGCAGCTTCCCATAATAAGACAACCGGGGGGATGCGGGGGAAGCTTATATTACAGCCACACCTGTCCCAACATGCCCTGCATCCTGGTTACAGTACATACTGGTTATACAGGGCATTAGTCTCTGGTGCATTCACATTGAAAAAAAGGCAAAGTTGAGTACCAACATACTTTCCTTTTCTTACTCAGATTTTTTGTGGTGTTCATGGATACTGTTGTCCCACAGTGCAACAATGGAAATGGAGTCATTTCCTCAGACTGTTTTTATTTCCTCTAAGAATAAATAAATAAAAGTTTTTAAAAAGTTTTTCTTTCCCTCTGCTCACCTTTTCCTACACTGTATTGGTTTTTATACAGCAAAATGTGTTTTTTAATGACTTGAAAAGTGCTCTGTAAATAAAGATTATTATTATTGTTATTATTTGTATGTAGTATTATTTGTATTTGTATGTTTTATTATTGCATTAGTGGTCACAGCTGAAAAAATATGGAAAAAAACATGTTGGAAAAGTGGATAGATACAGATCAATGTTTCACTTACAAACTGCATCAGTATGTAGATTTCAGGGGGAGACGCAAGGGACATGAGCCCCCTCAATATTTAAAATAAGCACATTAGTGGAGGACTCTTAATTTGACAAAACTAAAGACTATTTGAGGACCTCAGAATTGCATATCTGCTCTTTGCAGATGATGTAGTTCTGTTGGCTGCATCACATTGTGACCTCCAGAATGCACTGGGGTGGTTTGCAGGTGGTTTGAGTCTGATGCGTGTGCGAGTGTGAAGATTCCAGGTCTGAGATCATGGTTCTCTGCCAGAAGATGGAGCTTGCCCCCTCTAGGTTGGGAGAGAGTTGCTGCCCCAAGCGAAGAAGTTCAAGTATCTCGGTGTTTTGTTCATGAGTGATCTGATCAGAATGCCTCCTGGACGCCTCCCATTAGAGGTTTACCGGGCACGCCCAACTAGTAGGAGGCCCCGGTCTGGGAACGCTGTGGAATCCCCCGGGAGGAACTGGAAAGCGTTGCTGAGAAGAGGGACATCTGGAGTACTTTGCTCAGCCTGCTGGCCCTGCAACCCAACCCTGGACAAGTCAATAAAATTGGATGGAGGGATGGAAAATTAAAGACATTTACACCATAAATTGATGCAGAAAATGCACAAATTGGTGCATGACCATTCACCAAAATGCAAGAAATTAAGTGGATGACACTCAACAACCCCTAAACCCTTCATTATATATGTGCACTTAATTCTGTAGACTCTCTGCTTCCTGTGTAAATCAAGCTAATTCTAGAAACCTACATCACCACTCCATAGCTGTGTTTAACACTATTTAAAGATTGCAGCAAAACGATTTGTCAGTGAGATTAAATAATGCAATGCTATCACAAATAATGGGAAAACAACATCACAATAAGGCCGCGGCTGAAAAATGGCTTAACTGTTTAAATGTGTATGTTTTAAGGATCCATATTCTCCTCAGACAGTTATATTTATTTAACCTTTTTTAAATACAGATCAGTTGAGCATATATGCTCTTTACAGCAACACCCTGTTAACATACACTGAAGAACAAATAAAAACGTGGAAAAAGAACAGACACACACAGTACAGGATGATGAAAACTGATATACAGTGCAGAGGTGTTTCTATGATATAATAGGGTACAGTAAACTGACACTCCTGTTATCTTTGGCTACACAACAAAAGTTCAGGTTAAGTTTCAGAACTGGTTACATCTCGCCCATGTTCAAAGAGCGCATAAAATGTTGTTCAGCAAGTTCACATGGAACTGAATGTAGTTACCAGAGCTGCATGAGAGGCCTACTTTTGAATCATTACCTTTTCAGAAAAGGAAGTATTTGGAGATGCAAAAAGAAAATGATTGGCTACTGACCACTAAGAAACAGAGAGAGGATAAAGACAATATTTTAAAAATTTGAGTCAAGTTCAGTTTTATGTACTGTAACCATTCAGGCATACAGTGGTGTGATTATTTCTGAAGTACCAGACCCCCCGAATCAAGGTTGTGACAGTGTAGGCATATATTTTTTTAAAAATCCGTTTTCATTTAAAGGAACAGTGTGTAAGATTTAGGAGGATTTAGTGGTATCTAAAGGTGAAGACTGCAGATTGCAACCAGTTGAAACTTCTCCCAGTTAGAATTCCTTCAGTGTAGTACGGAATAAAGCAGTTTGACATTACAAATCAGTGTTTCTCTGACATAATTCGGCATGTTAGAGAAGTGCCACTAGCTAAGCACCTGCTGATTTGTATTCACCTTTTTGTTCTCTGATAACTTATGATCCAAACGTCAGGAGGTTTTTACTGGGAGCTAAATTATCCACAGAGGCCCCTTCCTCTCCAGAACAAATGAACCCAGTGATTTAAACCTTTATAAACACTGAGTAAAGCAGTTTCTTGTTAAAAATGAGTGTTTTTCTGACACTCTCATCATGGAGTGGCTGCTAATTACAGTGGCCAATGCAAAAACACAAATGGCCCTATCTAGAGTCAGTGTTTAGTTTGTCTATTCTGGGCTACCGTAGAAAAATGGCAGTGAACAAGGCGATATCTATGGATGAGGACCCACCTCCTTATTTTATACAGTCTATGCTCCTATGTAGATATAAACCCTCATTCTAAGGTAACACAAACACAACATTTCTTATTTTCAGGTGATTATACACTAAAGTAAAACATAATTATTGTATTAAATTCCACATCTGCTTCACACTGGACCTTTAAAACCTACTGACTCCATGACTCGTCTGTTTTATCTTGCTGTCCCGTGAAGCACTTTGTAACACTGTTTTAAAAGTGCTTTAGAAATAAAGATGATCATCATTCTTATTATAACAACAATAATGGTAATGCTACTACTATTAATAGTACAACTATCTATTACTACCAATACTTATAATGATAATAATAATTATAATTTCACTGAATTTTCTAGTTACATGCTTCCAATCAGTCAGTCAGTCAGTATATGAGGAGGGTAAACACCTGGCATCGCTGGACCTGTTTGATGACTAAAGAAGGAGAGGTGACATGCCTTCTGTACCATTCATCAATCTATTTGTGCACTGTCATGTGTGTGGACATTGATGTGTTGGTTAATGACCTGACTAATTTTGTAAGGATTTTTTTCCACAAAGACATACATGAATGTGATGGATTTATTTATTTATTCATTCATTTAGTACAGTTATTCAGAGTGAGAAACTGACCGTCTGAACTTGAACTTTTAAAACAAACATCTGTGGAAACAACAGTTGAGGACTTTATAACTCCGGGTTGTTTTCTGTTTGTCCCACAGCTGGTAACTGGCAGTGGTCTATCCTGATTGGCTGTAGCATTGACCAATGGGAGAGAAGAGCGCGAGGAGAAACATGGAGGAGGAGAACAGCCAAAACAGTGCCGCTACAGCTTGAAAGAGAAATGGGGCTAACTAAGGAATGAATGCGGTCATTGAAAACGTCGACTGTCTTCAAAAGCGCCGAGAAACATTCAGTTAAAGTAAAATGTCACTGAGTGCAACGTGTGATTCGGTTTCTCAGAAAAGGACTGTGTCGAGCCTCCTCGGTGAGTTAGCAGCTGGACCGAGTTATGTCAACGCTAGCACCATTTAACACAATATGTAAATACAGTCTGAAATTAAAATGCACGCTATGAAAACGTAGTCAGACCAACAACCATTGTTATGATTATGTCTTCATTGTCTCGACAAATACTGACTGACGTTTGTAACGTCGGCTGTTAGCGTGAGTGTGTTAAATTGCCAACTTTTAAGTGGAGTTTGGTGTGACTCTTTATAGGGAAGCACCCTTATATACATTTCTTTTTCAACTAAATAACCTTCCAAAGGTGCCAGCATTTCACCTATCTGTCCTCCTTAAAGGGATGGTTCTTTTTGTTATTGAAGTGGGGTTGTATGAGGTACTTAGCCATAGTCAGTGTGCTACCTACAGTAGATGTCAGTCGGCACGCCCCCAGTTTGGAGAAGCAGGCAGGAGTCTGACACTGAAGCTGAGCAATGTACTGCTGTGGACAGGGTCAGCAACGAAACGTAATGTAGCCACCTAAAAAGTCCTACTATTAATATCAGTATAATTGTATGCCATATTGAGCGTATAGTTAGTGCTTTACCTTTTCCTCAGACAGCCCCTTAAACCGTTAACTGTTTCAGTTCCCCATTTATGCTCTCATCAAAGCCACCAGACTCCATTGACAGAAACATTTTAGCTTGCTGAACACATGAGCTGCTGGTATACTGTTGCTTCAAATGGTTCATTAGTTTGTGTTATTGTGTGCAGCAGGAGACCAATAGCTCCTGTGTTTAGCAATATTAAATCACATTTTTCCTCAATGAAGTCTGGCTTTGAAAAGAGCGATATAACAGCTTTATTTTCCAGTTGGAAATTAGTCTGAGGTTAAAGTAAAGCAGCGAAAATACTCTAAATATAGTGTGCACTCAAACTGATATAGATTTTTTTAGGTGTTATTTTTTTTTAGGTGGCTAAGATACGCTAAGATTTTGTTGCTGACACCCATCCAAAGCAATACATTGCTTAGCTTCCATGTTTGACTCAAGCCTGCTTCTCCAGTGTGTTGTGCCGGCCGACATCTACTGTAGCTAATACACTGACTATGGATAACTACCCCGTACAACCCTACTTCAAAAAACTGAACAATCCCTGTAAAACTGGCCAACATTTTACAACTAGCTTAATTTTTGCAATAAGTAACATAACAACAAAGTAAGAAAATTCTGTACTGTTTGGCGAACTGTGTTACACAATATTGACACTGTCTCTATATAAATCTTATTCTAAGCATTATGTGTTTTTTTTCCTGCTGTTGTATTCCCAGCTGGTCGTGTGGTGAAGAGGCCGAAGCAGGGCGATGGTCAGAGGCTGCAGGAGGCAACGATCCAGCTGTTGGAGCAGCAGCAGAACCTCTGCAGTCTGCTCAGGGAGGTCGGGGTGAGTCAGTATACATCAGCAATGAAGGCAGAACCCACAGGGCTGCACAGCCAATGTACAGACATTAAACCATTATAACCACATTTTATTCTAATCTGTGGACTAAGTAAGTAAAAGGCATGTAACAGCTGACAATGTCATAACTGTCAGATGATGTCATAACTTCAAATTTGCAACGAAAGTGCTAGATGGGTAAGAAAGTAAATTGTGATGTTATATTTGACTGTATGGAAAGATTTGCAGCTTTTACTGGCCACAATACAGCACTTACCCAATATTATGCAATCAGTCAATCAATATGCAACTTGATTGGTTTTGGTGAAAAATATTCTACATTGCATTGTGGCTAAAAGCATTTATATTTTATTTATTTATGGAATTAAACCATCAAAGGCATTTGGAATAAGTGCTTCTGGATGGATGATACATGTATGATGCACTATAGAGTGGCCTTTTAAGAGTTAGGAAAGCAGCTTCATCCTCAAATTGAGGGCAGGACTGATGATATGTTTGAATTTTAGTAGTTACTAACCTTCACTGTTTTTTTTACACACTTTCTGTAGAATCCAGATCCGTGCAACGCTTTCTGCACTCAGACAGGAGAGCAGGAACATGCGGGGTCTGAGGGCATCACATCTTCCATTGCAGGTTCATTGCTGGGTGAGTTATTGATACTAAGTTTCAGAAATAGCCTCTGTGCTGTACATCAGTTTTGCCATAGTGACAAAAGTTGACACAGTCAGTGCCTCAGAGACACCTGCTGCTCCACACATTAATCGCAAAACCAAGCGCTGTAAAACTATGAAGAAGGAAAAGTGCGGTACAAGGAAGGAGTTTCTGCAACTCTCAGTGTTTGTTGTGTGTTAGGATTCTTCAACACCTCACATTTGAGTTAGCATCTTCACATAATCTTTGCATGATGTCCGACATTTTTCATTGTTTATCTTTTTGACAACTGACAGTATTCAGAAGATTTTTGCTTGCTTTTATACACCACAAAGTAGACTCATTGAAATGGTCACTACTCACAGTAGTGCCGCATGACGACATCCTAACTGTGACACAAAGTAAATGCTCAAAACTACAGGATGTGTTGTATTGTCTGTGGACAGTGTGTGAACTAAGGCGTCAGGCCTCGCAGCTGGGTGTCCCGGTGGCAGCGCTGTCAGTGAAGATGATGTTGGAGAGACTGATGGAGATCACTGTAAATGAAGAAGTGGAGAAGGAGGAGGACAAGATGACAGGGCTGCTCACTTCCTCTCAGCGGGTAAGTATCTGACATTTGATGTTTATAATCTTTGAGGTGTAGTCCAAGGTGAGCATTCAGTCTGTAACCTCATGCAAATGTAACAAAAAAGTGTTGACTGTTAACTTTAGACCATCTGAACTTTAACCTGCCAACTCATCAACATGTTGATGGCTGAGTAAGTTAGTGCAGGTGTCACTGGAACCGTAGGTGAAAATGTAGAAGGCTGCTCGTATCATCAGAGGCTTTGCACTAAATTTAACAAATAATCTGATTTTTAAAAACATTTCCTGCTGACATCCAACAGAAGAAAACTAATGAGGAAAAACATAGGCTGCGTTCACATCACAGCTCAATTCTGATCATTTCCTTAGATCTGATCTTTCTGCCTAGACTGTTTACATTCATGTTTGATGTGATCCATATCTGATATCACAAAACAGATGTTTGCCCTGAAATGCCTTGCATGCAACCAGTAACGTCACACACATGCTCATTAGAATGACAACAGTAATCCTCATCTTCACAAAACAGGCATTTGGGGAAAAAATGAATGACAGTGTTAATAGTACATAATGTCTATAAATAGTGTGTAGAATTGAGCTGGAACACGCTGCATATTTTAGGATCAGGATGCTGCACAGGTAAATGATGAATTAGGGAAGACTACCTTCCTTAACTTTGCACTGTATACAGAAAGATTACAAAGGATTTTAAAGCTTTCACATCTCATCCCAGGAGGTGATTTGAAACGTTTAAATTTGGACCCAATTAGTGATTACTGTGGTTGTTTCTATCTGTGGGTTTTTATGATTTGCAGTGTTTTTGTTATGTCTTTTTTCTGTTGTTTTCTGCTGTACTCGGGTCTCACTTATGAAAGAAATCTTACCTCTGAACAGATTACCTGATTTGATAAGTGATATTTAATCTGATAAATGTCATGCACTCATTTTTTAAAGATATATTTTCATGAAAAATGTCAGCTACAACTTTAGTATACTGTGATGTATGTGTGTCTTAGTATTTTTTGACTCAGTGTGTCATTGTGGTTTTCATACGCACAGTGACATGGCGTTTTCCCTGGTGCCACAACTTCACTTTAATGCAGTTCTGCATATTGAAAATGGTTGTTGCATCATGTCTGTGCTGCAGATCTCACGGCAGATTGTTACTTCTGTAGTTTAACATTTTTGAAGCAGCAAAAGTCTCCACCTTGAGTTTGTCATTCATTGCTGCAGGATTTTTGTTCAGTTTCTTTTATAAAAAATCATGTTAAATATGACATTTCTATAAGTGCCACCCCTGTCCTCTCCAGGTCCAGCTGTGTATCCTGCTGAAGTCCAGCAGAGAACTCCTGTCACAGGGAGCCCTCTGCCCTAAACTGCTCTGGCAGGAGTACAGAAGAAATCAGGTGTGTGCGCATGTTAGAGTTCATACATGAGACCTAAAGAAAGTTTTTACTTCTGATGATTTTGCACAATTGTTAAATTCCACTAATTTGCTTTAAAATACCGTTTCTCAGTCTGAGTTCTACACAGCCGAGTCTCAGTAAATACACAACTGAGGAAGTTTAGTTTAAAATGTAAAATCACTCACTTTATTTATCTCTTTATATCTGCTTATTCCTTTACACTGCGGCAATGGGAAAAACCCAGCTTGGCTTTCTTATATAATAGATGTAAATGAAATATTTAATGTGCTTCTTTTTTTACAGAGATTACCCAAGCTGGAGGTGGTGTACCATCTTCACTTTTACAACATACTCACTCTGAAGTACATCATAGAGAGGTGAGAAATATGAGGGTGTTTTTTGTTTGTTAGGGTTTTTTTCCAGTTCAGTTTTTGGGGAATTTTGTTTGTGCCATCAGTTATCAGGTTCTGGGACAAAGAATTAACCTGCCTTTTCATTAAGCTCTCTAGCCACGTAGACACCGATTTTTTTGTCTTTGGATGACCAACATGTAACCGTAGACAAAAAAACAATACATATACTGGGCACACTTATATTTTCAGGCTATAGGGGTGCAAATGAGAACTCATTTGTGCTTGTACCCTGATATATCCGTCAAGCAAAGCATTTAATATTACGCACAACTGTAACTTTAAAACAACAGACCAAAAAATATGAAATTATTTTTATGTATTTATTAATTTATTTAATCTAATAATGATAATATATATATATATATATATTATATATCGATATGAAAAGCAACCAATGAGCGCAGAGGGAAGACGGATGATTGCCAATCAACCCTTAAAACCACAGCAAAACATGTATGTTGGCATGGCTACGCATCAGTGTGGACTTAAAATAACGTTAAATTAAGGTGAATACATTGGTCTCTAGTGATTGGTTAGGGTAAATAAAATCCTCCTCCTCCACAAAAATTAAAAAAGAGGACACAATGTCAGACTGAAGATGAAAACAGAGTGTAACGAGTTGACAATTCTGTCTGATAATCAGGCAACAGCATTGCAAAGAAAGTAGACTCTGAAAAATTAAACACAGATATCTGCACATGAGAACGCACCAGTGGGGCATGATGTTTTGTAACTGCCATAAACATGTGCTCAGCAGCCAACTAGTATTTAAGACAGTGCATTTACTCCAGCAGAAGATAAAACACTTTGGACTTTTATTCAAGCTCTTGTGCACTTTGATGTTAGATTTGAAAAGCTGTTGGTGCTAACTTATCTAACAAATTATTTTATGATGATTCCCTGCACATGTTTGTCATATACTTTTTGAAAGCTCTCATAAAGGAAAGGAAACATGAAGCTTTATCTGTAGAGGTTTGAATGGTTCATTTCTTTGGTTTGTCAGGCAATTATCTTTTATCTTTTCCCTGATATGTCAGCATGTCTGAAGAAAAATATTGAGTCCAGGGTTGCAACGGTATGAGATTTTCATGGTACGATAATCGTCTCAGAAAATAGTGTGGTTTCACTGTATCATGGTAGTATGGAATTTATATTATCAGTGAGAATGACCCTTAGAGGAATGAAAATGGAAGACCTGTTATTGGTTGAACAAATGTCTATTACTATAATTGAAACTTGAAACCATTTTGTTAATGGAAGTATGTGTAAAAAGTATCCCCTTAGAAAATAACTTAAATAAAGGAGAGAGTCAGCGGTCAGTTGAGTTTTTCCAATATTATAGATAAGCAAATGTACAGTATGATAACCATCAACTTTTCTATCATGCTATACCTTGAAACCTGAATTGAGTCTGCACATTTGCAACACACCAGCTACAGCTGTGTGGTTGCCTTGGATGAGAGAGAGCAGGTAGTAGTGGATGGTTACAGTTTAGTGTTGTCTGACTCACCAGGTGTAGACAGTGGCTATGAATCTGTCATTGGCCAGCTGTTTAAGCCAGCATTCTCCCATCAGCTATCTGCATGATACCATTTCCAAATCCTTCACTACAGGACACAACAACAACAGCCTCTGAGCTAACAGCCTACACGCTCAAAATGGCAAGTTTTGATAAAGGTTTGGATTGTGCAATAAGGCATGCCTGCGCTGTTTTATCAGTGAATTGGTGTAAAGATCTAAAACAAAAAAAACAAACAAACCAACTTGTGAATGACCTTGGAAAAACCTTGACTCTCGCAGGAGACTTGTGCCCAGTGTTGATCTGTTTTCTAACACAACCAGTCGGAGTTGATCTGCCACATTTTCTTTTTTTTTTAAAGATTATTTTTTGGGCTTTTTGCCTTTAATGAACAGGACAGGGTGAAATGGGGTGAGAGAGAGTGGGGGGTGACATGCAGCAAAGGGTTGCAAGCCAGGGTTGAACCTGCGACCGCTGCAGCGAGGCATTGACTCTGTACATGGGGCACCGGCACTATTCACTACGCTACTGATCATGATACCGATTTGCCACATTTTCTAACTCTGACATTGACTTCATACCAATCTGTTTCATTTCACGAGTGCCTGTGATATCATCATAATAATGTTCTGCAAGAGCCACATGTTGCAAATCGTCTGTGGTTTTAACAGGTTCAGTTAGTTCCTCCAGAGCTAAGCTATAGACAGGCTTCACCTTGAAGTTACCGATTATCAAATTATCTTTGTCTTTCTTATCAGTAAAAGTTGAAACATGCAGTGAACATACAAACAATTAAACAAAATACTTCTACAAACACTGTGGAAGTGAAGAAAGACCATAAGGATTTGAATGTTATAAATAACTGAACACATAATTGTGAGAGAGAACCACTTCTGAGCACTTATTTTTTAAAATTTGAGTACTATTGAATTTATAGTATTGAAACAGTTTAGTTTGAAAACAAAATCTGAATTTGTGTGAGTTGGGTTAACAGTAGTGCAGTTTCACAAACATGATTTTATGTTTCATTTTTCAAAAAAAAGAAAAAAAAAAAAAAAACAGTCTAAGTCCAAAAATCAGGTTGCTCAAATTTGATTGGTTCAGTTCAGACAACAGAATTTAAAATTCAAACTTGAACGTTGAGGTGATAGATTAGACGTCTGTCCTGTCAGGATATATTCTCAGTCACATGTCACAAGTCACGAGTTCGGAGCCTGGATTTCTATCTGAATGTTTGACTCATCTGAGGTAAGAAATCAGACTGCATGAATTCACAAAGGTGGCTTTCACAATAATAAGATTCAATACTGCATCAGAACTGAACAACAGAAGACACTTATCCATCAGTCCTGTGTCACAGTGCCTCTCTGTGGTTGTAGTAAGAGCCATCTATGAATTGTTCAGTTTACAGAAGGACTCAAATATAAGCTCCACACAACAAAAAAAGGATATACTGTACAAGTCACTCAGATTTCGAGGATAGTAAATGTTAAAAGCATGGCTGACACCTAAAACCTTTCTTCAGGACGTAAACTTTTAAACAAAACCTTTCACTCAGTCTTTCCCCCTTTTTGCTTTTTCTCCATTCAGTGATGAAACAGTGAGGTCGTGGTTGGTGTCTCAGTTGAAGGCTCTGTGCGGATGGACACCTCCACAGGGAGAAGAGGAGACCAAACAAGTTCAACACAAAGTGCTGTCAAGTAGGGACACAGATCTCTCTCACTCGTCTAGTTAAAGTTGTGCTTCTTGGAAAATGTTGGCTCAATCACTCATCAACAAATGGCTCATTATAATACTTAAAGCGGGTGATCCAAACAATATTGTTTGCTACTGTTTGAACTCCACCGTCCACAACATTTCTGTGTTGCATTGAAGACACATAGGTGAAAGAGAAGGGCTAAAATGATGTCTACGGTTGGGGATATATGCACTTTGTGTGTTATCTTAAACCGTATTGCTTTGATTCGATTGCAGACTGAAATAGATATAGCATGCCTCCAGATATTTTCCTACTCTTCATCAGTATTTTTGACAGATAGGTACCTGTCCCATGTGTACCTGAGCCCCTGTAAAGTAACAGGGGGTTCAAAACCGACTGACACATATTTTTCCAGTTGTTGGAAAAAACAATTTCTCAACAGGAGATCTTTCTGAGTGGTCAACTAGTGATGTGCTGTACCATATATATAATGCCTAATCTGCAAATTACAAAAGAAGTCCGGCCTAAGGATATCATTTTTTTTCAATTATTTGTTCAGATTTCATTGCCACATTGTCAGAAAATAATTGTTATGTCTACTAATGCCATTATTACCCCATATTACCAGCATCAAACAACCCAGGTCAGTCCCTAAGTGCATACTTTGAACAGGGAGCTTGAACACATAGGCAGCTAGAGTCTGGATTATTCACAATCCAGTCATAAATATGAGTGCACAGCTGTAAAAATAAAAAAAGGCACGCTCATGGTATTAAGAACACTTGAAAAAATATGCACAAAAAACAAAAGCTGCTGCTCAGGATAATTCTAATGAAAGATCTTCTGTATTTTAGCTGTGGTTGGAATCTTGATTGGAACTGGCTTCGAGGCGAGCCAGGAACCAGCAGCTGCAGACAGGAAGACGTCCCTGTTCTGCTGCTCAGTGCTGGATGACATGCTCTTCTGTGAGTCTACACGTCCCCATCCCACTTACACTCTACTGTGTTGATGAAATATTTAGTAAAGCTCTTTGATTCACACCTCCGGACCCTGAAAGCTATTTTTTCTTTAATTGAAATGATGTCTAAATATCATTTTTGTACTTTATTTTTTTGCCTTCCTTTTTAACACTTCATCGTTTTTCTGTCTGTTTTCTTCAGGGCTCCTGGACACTATGGAAAAGAGTGCGACGCTGCAGTCTGCTGGAGCAGGAGCTGAGCTATGGTTCTTTGCTTTTCATTTGTTTGTTTTTAAAACCTTTATGATGTCAGGTGGTCTTGTTCAGACTGAGTTCATTGTCTGAAGAAAGAGACCTGAATACAAACTGTTTGCTCCTGTTCTCAGCCTTTATGATAATCTACGCTAACTATCTCCTGCAGTAGCTTCATATTTAACTGACATATATGAAAGTGGTATCGATCTTCTCATCCAACTAGAAACTTGCAAAAAAAGTGAATAAGCGTATTTCAGAAAAAAAGGATAATGTCTTTAAGTTCAGGTGGAATGATGACATACTGTATGTCCCAACCAAGGGACCAGATCTTCGAAAGGATCTGTTAAAGCGACAGTAATTTTTATAAAAATAACATTTTATCATATTTGCACAAACTGTCACCATATCCACACAGTTAAACATAAGACAGATTGTCTGTGGGTAAAAAAACATGTTCCTCTGCCTGTACATAGTGCCTCCAGTGGCTTTTGCTAGAATCTGCTGCACTGGAACGAAACAACCAATCAGAGCTGCGGAGTCTCTAACGTAGCTGTCAATCATGTCATTCGCTGCTTGTAAACTGCGGTCAAACTGTCAAACTAGGCAGCATGTAGTGATAGTTTCAGAAAATGACAAAATATGACAAAAAGGTAATTTGTAAAAGTTTAAAAACTACAGATTTCAGTCCAAGTAGAAAGGTCTGTCAGATGGGCTGAACCTGCTCTTCCTCCACAAAATCGCACCTCATAGAATCCAAGCTAGAATGGTGCACTCTGGTGAGTCAAATATTAATTCATCAAATATTCACAGCTGAGTCTACAGAACAGGCTGTGGTGTTTCATTTTAATACACCAAGGACAGCTAGCAACAATGCACCAGATTAATGTTAAATATATATTCAAAAATTTTATCTGTGATGAACAACCATGGCCAGGCTTCTAAATAAATGCCCGGCTTTTTAACACCGCAGTGATTTTTTTTCATCAGTCTACCGTAGTTTAAGACTACAACTAACTGCTAACAGTTATTTTCATTATTGGGGAATGTGCTGACTCATCTTTTCAGTTTAAAATCCAATAATGTTCTGTTTATCATTACAAAAGACAAGCAACAATTTTTACCAAATGAGAAGGAGCTCTAAAGAATGAGTAAAGGGTTAATCGTTAATCAAAATAGATTTTGATTAATGTATCAGTGACTGATGACAGTCTAAAGGCAAAAACCTGTTAAAGACAGCATGGTCATGTGATATGTCCTGATTTTAGGAGTTGATTAGTGTCACCTGGTTATTCTAAAAATACATAAGGATGCTGCTGCTACACTGGGCCACAGGAAAAGATTAGTGCCTGACAGTTTCTGTCATCGTGTGACAAAAGAAACCAGGATTTTGTAGGTCTGACTGATGTTTCTTCTTTCTTCAGCTGTTCAGTTTTTGAGCTCATGCCTGCTTTAAGGGGGTGTCTGTAGGTCATTAAAATGTGATATTTTATCTAATTTAATGTATCCGTCTTTAAATTCCTTTTGTCAAAATTAGTCTCTTTAGCTCTTCAGCATTAAAGTCCACATTTCTACTGTTGCAAATCTTTAAACCTACCACTGAACCTTATACTTGCACTTTCCTGTTGGCCCAAAGTAGATTAACCTAACCCACCCTTATAACCATGTCCCTCTATAAAACCTACCTTACTACTTCCATTTATATGTACCTGCAATTCTAAATATGAAAAATGATGATGATTTGCCCAAAAATCAGTCTTAGATTGGTTAAAAAACATCTTTACAAGGTGTTAAAGAGCATTCAGTTTAAGTGCCTGATGCCTGCAGACACCCTGTTTAACTTCATCTGTTACTGTAGCCAGTAAACTTCACAAGAGTTTCTGTGCAGACTTGTTGCCTGTCTGGCAGCTTCACCACGTTTTCTGAATACTTTGATCCAGCTGGACGGCAGCTGACTGGATAATTTTTCTGTTCTGCACTGTTCTCAGTAAAATTCCTGCCGCTTGTCTGGTCCTGAAATGCTGAGGCAGAGCACCTGGCACCTACGATCAGACTGTATGTGTATTACTGTAACTGGCCGTCTCTGCTCAGCCTGGGTGCTTCACACACTGAGTCACAGCCCTGCCTCTGTCTGCAGCAGTAAGCTGTTCATTTATACATGGAGACAGTCTACGACAGCGTCCACTTAGAGTACAACACTGTGCACATCCCCTCTCAGTCTCAGAGTCATTTATGTAAAACACTGACTGTGGAATATATCTCCTGTAATTAAACACTACGGCCAATAGCATGAAAGTTAATTGTGCTGTTTCTATACAAAATGTGTTTAATTCTAGGGTATGTTTTTATCTATAGTGAACAAACAGTGTGTCCCTGGGGATATGTGATCAATGCATCATCAATGAGGACATGTATGATGTTTAATGTCTCTGTTTCTTACTGCCCTGCCCTGTGTTTGTACAGGATTCAGATATTTGATACTTCATTATGTGGAGCTTCAATGTCCGTGGATACCCTTCAGCGTTTCTTCACACACTCCCTCACACAGACTCTCACTTACAAGCCTCGGCTAACAGGTAAAGACAAGTTACAGAACGTTTTAATAGCTTGATGCTGTTTTTGCTTGATGATGACTTTACTTAAATTTTGCTGTACACTAATCTGGTAAGAACTTAAATTCAGAAAATTCAGGTTTGGGAAGACTTAGAAATATGAATCCTAATGTACAGTGCATGCTGCTTTTTTAAATGATAACAGAAATAATTTGTAGAAACCTGATGTGTCACAACTAAGTCACATATCCACAGTGTCGGATGCCATCGCTCAGCAGAATGAGTGGACCTTTGCAAAAGCCAGCCGGTTGTTGACGACTCTTTTCCGTAAGGTAAATGTTTTATGTTGTCCAGTTTGTAAACATATATTTAAAAGGTAACTTCAGTAATTTCAACCTGATGTTTTTGTGTTAAAGTGACTAATAAGAGCAACAGTTTTTTAACTTGGTCTAGTGAACTGGCTGCAGTGTAATGTAATTAAGCACTGTCAGTTTACATCAACTAATAGTGCCTGTTTTGCCACTGACAGGCTCATACTGTTTTTTAAATGTCTGACAACATTATGGAATGCATACCAGTAAAAACAGAGCCTTTTGTTTAAAAGTAAGATTCTTCTTGTTCAACCAGAAACAGCCCCAAAATTGCTATCACCAAACCCACCAGACTCCATTTAAGAAAACCGTCATTGTATAATTGTAAGACATGCGTACTTCAAAGTTGAGAGAAACAAAATAAAACTCACAAAACCATCTTGGTTCATCTTTCCACTGTTCCATCAATCATCAACTCAAATCATCAAATCATTGGTTGAAATAAACCCTTAATCACCCAATTATGATGTGTAAATATGCTGGCTCTATACTGTACATGCTTAAATTACTGTTTATTTAGATGTAGTCTGGTGGCTTTTGCTGTCACAATCTGGGGCTATTTCTGGTTAAACATAAAGGATCTTCCTCTCTCACAAAAATGTCAGCCTCTGTAAGGATACCTTCCATAAGCTGTCAGACACTTGGAAAAACAATCTGAGCCTGTCAGTGGCAAAAACAAGCGCTTTCAGCGGGTGTATGTTTGCAGCGTGAACTTGCCCCAAGTGTAGACAGATGCAACAGCAATCAAATCTCTCCAGCTTCAGGCGTACAGCCTTCAGCCCAGAGGAACACAGCACTGAGTGTATTGATTTATCTGTAATGATGTTCTTAGCTGCAGCAAACAGCTTGTTTGTCTGTCAGTCACTCCCTGTGTTCTGCTCTTGGTTTCTTTAGACTAGCACTTTAGTTTATGGTTTCACAGAGCTAAAGAGCTTACTTTTAATGCTTTTTGTATTTTCAGATTTATGGTCACAAGGGTCTATTGTAATGGAACTAACAGTAGCTTGTTTGTGTTATTGCTGTGTTTCTGTACCAGCTGGCTGTAATCTTCAGTGTGGAGCAGCTGCTGTGTCACCTGCAGAAGGTTTTGGAAACCCATGAGGTCAACTGGAAACACGTCCTGTGTTTCCTCTCCACTCTGCTGGTTTACAACCCCTGTGCCCAGACCAGCCTAACAGGTAAACACAGCAGCCTGCTTTTACCGGTATCTCTTATATTGGATTCAGACAGCCAAGTGCCAATATTTTGAGCTGAGACTACACATATAGTCAGATTGTCACAATAGAATTAACTTAGTTTCGCAGTTTTTTATAGATGAGTGAAGTACTTAGAAGTTGCCCTTTTATAAGGCAGTTAACATTGCCCTGGTTCCCTTAACAAAAAGCCAGTGTGATTTTTCTATTGGATTTTGGATTGCCATGCGGAAAAAGCTAACGTTATGCTATAAACAAACCACACCACAGTTGCATGACTTCATCGTCACCACCATAACGAGGCTGTAAAGCCGTGTTCGGAGTGATGACGCTGTGTAGTCTCATTCAGCCACATGTTAGCAGCTGTCTTTTATAAGACCCCTTAGAGCTTCAAAATAATGAGTGGGTTATTTACTGACATATTTTATGTTGTAGAACAAGCGTGAAAGTCTCTTCAGCTTGTGTTAACCACAGACCTTATTTCAGGCATCTAACCAAAAATCAATTCAAAAACAACGAGGGAACTGGGAGTGCAAAAAAGTTAACTTATTCCCAGGTTTAAGAATACATTACTTAACCATTCTATAAACACAATGGGAAACACAGATTGATAGAAATCAGTTGTAAATCATATCATATTTACTCTAGTATTACAAGGCTTGTCATCTCTGTTATGTTTCTCTGCTTCCACCAGAGTTGCTGTCCAGGCTGCTGAGCTCTGCATTTGAAGGTTATGACCTCGAGAACATGATAACCGCCTTCCTCTTGGCTCGACAGGGTGCGCTGGAAGGACCAGGCATCTTCCCTTCCTACAGCAACTGGTTCAAGGTTTCATTGTGGCTTTTCAACACTAGTTGGTTGTACATACCTCAAATGCCCTGTGCTGAAGGAATGAATTCTGTTCAGGATGAAAATGCCTCTGAATTACTGTCTAGACTATGGACATAATATGCCTTGAATAAAACTCAAGATAATGAAACAAAGTGTAATTTTGAATAAATGTGCATTTGTATTTGATAGATTTTGATCAGCTTGTTCTGTACTAGTGTAAGACCTTTTCTTTAATAATTATCATTTGAAATGTGCAGTAAGTATTTTTTTACTTTTCCAGATTGTTTAACAAAGGTTGATCGTATGTCTATGTGGATTAATAGGGTTTTTGATCAAACAGATGATGCAACAGTTTACAAGATCCTCTGATTGTCTGTTGCAGTTGTTCCTGTCACAGACAGAGGGCCAGAGTTTATAAATATTTCTTTATTCTGCCTTTTCAGATGTCTTTCGGCGGAGGCAGTGGCTACCACGCGACCAGTAAGAAATCTCTGGTATTTCTGCTGAAGTTCCTGTCTGACTTGGTGCCTTTTGAACCCCCACTGTACCTCAAGGTGACATTCTGCACACGTCTCTGACGATCCATAACCTCATTTCACTGGACATAAGATACATGGTGTCTTATATATTCGATGAACCTGTAATGATCCCCACAGGCAAACTTGGGCAGCAAGTAGATATAGAAATAAAACTGTACTTTCAGTTTTTATGCTATTTTGTACTTTCTCCACTACATTTCAGAGGGAAACGTACTTTTAATCCATCCACAACATTTATCCAGCAGCCTTAGTTTACAGCTACAGCTATATTGCTTTTAACATTAAGATTTTTTAGCTAAAAAACATGATAAGATTATAAAACACAATGACTGTTTAAAAAAAATCAAACCAGTAGTTCTCAACCTTTTTGGTTTATGACCATTAACAATAGAACTGTGTCTACATGTGGATATTATACAGCTGACTATTGGTGCCTTCACTGAACTTTTACACAATGAGATTTTTGATAGATATCATCAGCAACACAGAAAACACACCAAGCAGCAGCTAAGTGTGGGTTGTGGCGAGCTGCCATGCATTGTCTATGGAAACCTGTGGAGAATGCTTTGAGCTCAGCGATGATAGAGCAGCTCCTTTTCCCTATCCAGTTATTCATTCACAACCCCTAACATTTATTTTGTGACCCTACCAGCTCAGTGGCCTTGTGGTAGAGTGTCCGCCCTGAGACTGGGAGGTCGTGGGTTCGATCCCCGGCCGGGTCA